ACCACGTATATATGATTATGTAGAAATTGTATAGCTTGCGCATAGACGGGAGATGCTTGAAGTTGGCATAAGTGTCGAACAACAGTAGTATCCTTTAAAAGCAAATAATCGGCATTATTAACGTTGTATTTTTATTTGTATTTTATGTGTATACTATATAAATTCAGAAAAAATAAGATGGTAAACTCACACAATGTTATTTTGAAACGAGAAGTGAGGGGTCACTTTGAATACGACGCATATATGGGAGGATTCTAGTGCTTTGGTATTTAGTCCAATGGCTGTCTTTCCTCAGCAGAGTACAGGACCCTCGAAAGGGCTGATAATTTCCTCAGTAACAAGCAACTGCTATGTTTCTAAGGTCTCTGGTATCTAGAGTAAGAAAACAAGAAAAGAGAAATATTTAAACAAATGATACGCCGACAATGGTTGGCCTTAACATAACAAGTAATTCTGTGGTTTACATATGTGATTAAGTTTTGCGCGATACCATCAGAGATATTACATGATAATTTCGAAAGGACAGAATTTTGGGACTGGGGGAAATCTCACCTGGGGGAGGGAGGAGGAGGTGAAAGGATATCATTTAGAAGGATTTAATAACTGGTTATGAACATAGGGAGCGAATGGAATTCACTCAGGATTGTTTCCAAAGATGGGCTTTTATATTAGCGGTGTGAAGCTTTCATATTGCAGTACCATAAATTTAGAGGTTATACAAGATTCCTTGGCTAACTTTCTTCATATTATAAATAGACATTTGATATTATGAAAGAAGGAAATTTAACAAAAAATATTAGCAACAGCAAATGTTTGGCTCAGTACTCGAGGCAGGGTAAGTTTTGACACTGGTCATATCGCTACTTATTATATACCGTATAAACTTTGCCTCTCCTGTGGGCAACAAAACCTGTGTCAGAGATGAGAGCCTTGTTCACAAGATAACGACAGCATCAACTCAAGAAAACAACGAATAATACGAAACAACGTAGGAGTCTTACTCGCACTCTCTTAAAATTTAAACTCGTACTAACATAGAGATATGACAGACGCTCGTTTTATCTATTACATAACATTATTATCATTATTATTATTATACAGGTATGTAAAATCGATATGAATTATTATTGTATTCTTATTGTATCGTTACTTCGTTTGTCTTGCCTTCCAGTACAGTGCTTCGCAAGAAATGCACAACACATTATGGGTCTCTTGCGCAATTCAAATTTTCCTTCAGCCCAGTTCCTATCCTACATAACACGATATTCAGCGAGCATGAGGAATTAACACTTAACGAGTGCCGTAGATTTTCGATGAATTGATGGATATTGTAAATATAAAGATGGCGCAGATTAGCGACTCAATTCTTCTGACTTTTCCTTCAAAATACCCGATGTACATTCAAAGGGACTAGTCCCTCGCTGCCTAGATTATTGCAGCTTATTATATTATTAAGCTATAAATTATGTGTGGTTCGTATGTACGTTCAGAAATCACAACCTTTTTTCTTTGACCAGCTACTTTAAAAGGTAACTGCGATTTGTTAATGCATATTTTACTTATAAGATTGCGTGATTAAATGACAGCGAAGGAACAATGTAGACACAAGACTTCTGTAATTAAGTTTGTAATTTAGAAAACACAACAAACGTGAAGTAAAGTTACTATTCTACGGAAAACAAAGTCTTTATCGAAGAAATAGTTTAACTGAAGTATTTAACTTGAGGAAGAAATGGGAGTTTTGTTACTTTTTGACTCCGGGAAATCATATATCTTTTTTTCTGACATAAGAACGAAGAAAAGAAACCCTGGCTATTTTTTACATCCGGGAATGAAGTTTAAATAAAAATGTACATCATTATTTATTTGATATAAGTTTTGAATTTCCCGCGGCGGTAACTGTTGAAATTGTGGTCTTCCGGTTCGTAACAACTTGCAGCGTTTGAGGTAGACACGATTCTAAAGAGCATGCTGCCCAGTATTCAGAGTCAAAGTGTTTATAGTGAGGAAACTGTTGGGTTGTAGTAGCAAACTGCATTCTGATGAAAAAGAAATGATCCTTTTCAGGGACATATTTTTTTTAATAAAATGACAATTTTCCTGTTCACCATCGGTATTAGCCCGGACACGAATCTATATGTTTTCCGCCTCCAGTGGTCTGAATGGAAATCATATTTGCAAACTTGCCTGTATAACGCATTTGAATCCTCGCCAAATACATTTAAACCCAGAAGAAAGAGGCAGTATTTCTCTCTGAAACGTCTTCTACTGATTGATAACATATACCAGAGGAAAATCTGAAATTTTGCTTGTTTACACAGGTTAGAAAAATTGTTCTTTTTCTGTCTTGCGTTGAATTATTCATTTTAATGATTGCCAAATTTCTCCATACTTCCACTAACTTGGGTGGATTATTTTGTTATACCCAACCGCACAATATTATTACGATCACGTTTCGTTCTCAAACGTGTTTGGAATAAAAGCGACAGATTGGCAAATTTATAATATGAACGAAGTAAAAATTCTGATAGGTTAGGTACATTTCCAATCTCTTTGCACGGTTCATTGAAGAGGAAAATATAAACCTGCATTTAGCTGTGATCACTTCATTGGGATTCACTACTCGAAAGAAATGTAACTTGTGTTATACAGGCGAAAGTCAGGCATTCTCTACTGTCCGTACAATTGTGATACGATCCCAAAAGATCAGGATGACAAATCCCGTCTGCCCTTCCACTGGACACGGAGGGTTGTGGCTGATGATAATTAAAGGATCAGGACTATTTGTCAGTGGTTTGAACTCGACCATTTACACCCGTATGACCCAGTGCGGAGCAAACGCTTGTTCCACTGCAATAATCTTGTTCGATTCTTAACGTTTAAAAGCAAACTAATTTTTACTAACATTACATAGCACTTAGACTGCATATTACTCACTGACTTAAATAAAATGAATATACGTAACTGCCATCTCGGAAGTTCGCTTTACTCGTTTCGAGGTGTTTAGCTACTGTCACTATAAGAGATTGCTGTTACCTTAGCATTAGTACCAGCAGTCCAGCTCGAACCTGGCAGTCTGTGAATGCTGAAACTCAGTGCTAACTAACAGGATTACCTTAGTCAACGGATTCTTGGAAGGTCTTCTAAATTAAAAGATTTTTATACAACGGATAGGGTATAACATAACTGCGGAGCAGTAAAATGTTTATACAAATATTTTGAAAATTATTCATTTCTATAATTTCAGAAATTATAACGATTTTATATTGCTCTTTATAGAAATGATATTCAATATCTACACAGTAATGAACTGTGTAAATAAAAAAAAAAGTTTATTTTCTTGAAACGACAATTTCTTACTCTATCTTGGGATGGGTTGACCGTCAACCGGAGCCATGGGCTCTAAAATAAATTTACTTCCTTCAATTTTGTTTGCCTATTATCAAAATACTATTATCCCTTCACTGGTTACGATCACTGGTATCAGTCTCCAGTAATAAGTTCGGCAGAAAATTGGAGTATGTTGGTAATTTGTCTGTATGAAACTCATTCTAATAATTCGAAGGCACTTATCAGGAAAATTAATAAATTTGTTATGCAAGATATAGTTAGCTGTACGTATGCTTGAGAATTAAGTGACTAGGGCTTCAATCGGATTGAGCGACTTCAACTCCAAAGTGAATCATAGATGTTTGATATATGAGAGAATTAATATAAAAAAGAATGCGAAATATATTAATTTATATTTAAGAAATTTTGAGGATCTTGTTTTTAATTTTCTGTAAACCGTGTATAGTTTTGAGACTTATCTTGTTCTTAACATGGGATGAATGGCCGTGCCATAGCTCAAGCTGTTAGCCGCTGGCTTCCCACCGCGGCGGCCCGGGTTCGATCCCGGGTCTGGTCAAGTGGGATTTGTGGTGGACAATTTGCCTCTGGGGCGGGTTTTCTCCGAGTACTTCGGTTTCTCCTGCCAATCTTCTTTCCACCAAATTCTCCATCATCATAATCACCCGGAATAAGCTGATTAGTGGCCGCCGTGTTGAATGGACCCAGTTCGACTCCACTCCTCACTAAGCGAATTAAAAAAAGAATAGGATGAATGCTAAATTATGTTTGTGTTTTCTATAAATACAATAATTAACAGAAATGAAGCAAATTAAGCTTACTGGGAGCTTGAAATAAATTTCCTATACGTAATTTCTTTCTATTTTTAGTTGAACAAAATTTAGTATTTACATATATTTAATTTAGCCGAGTTGCAGTAAATTTATGAACCATTTTATACCTATAGCCTATAGGCGAACTTCTGTAGGTGAATTAACACTTTCATTGACAGGAAATCGAAACACGTTCATAATGACCGGAGGAGTGAAACAGGCATTTGCAAGGATTATTCATTTTGTCAATCTGTATTTTATCTAAAATTATGTGCCTTCCTAAGAGTAATTTTTGGGTAGTGAACACAAAAGAATATATTTGTTCGCCCTAGCCATGCTAGGTGGATTGAAGTGGGAAAGTTTAAAATTACTTTTGTACTTGTATCTTTTGGAGAGGCCTTTGTGTCCCAGTCAGAAACGTCCAGTATGTCCCCCTTTTCAAGAGGAGGGTTAAAGTAACTTGCTAATATCTATGCTCTAATTTGCGCGTAAACATTTCCAAATTATGAATCTCTCAAAGAGATATTGGAAACTTCTTGTCTACCTTCTTAGTGAGTTAAAAAAAAAGACGTTTTGGGAGTTGTGGCAATTATGGATCGTTCGAAGAATCGTAGTCCCAAATCTACTGGTCCCGTGGCCGAGAGCAGCGGTTCGTTTCTCACGTATTTAAGTATTTCGGTGTAAATCATTTTACACCTCTTTTATGGCTATATTTCAAGCCAGAATTTTAATTAATTTGCTCGAATTATAAAAAAAATTATATATTGTGATATTTACAGTTAGCTCATTAACAGCGTTTCTTCTATTTAGAATAGGATGCACATGAACTGTGCCTGGGACTTCCTGATACCACCGTGTACATAGCAATCAATTGTCATGCAATGTACATTTCTCAGTGTTTGCTCACTACGCATGGATCTAGAACAACCAACGGTCTTGCTTTCAGATACATCTGTGCAAATCTTTTCATCAGCTGCGAGTAACTTAAGACTCAGCTGCCCACTGGACGACGGATTCATATCTGGCCAATCATTTTTCAAACTTTAGCTTTAAAAAATAGTTACATGATAATAGTTTAGCAGATGTTTAAGGGCGACTTGGACGACGATTACCGCGGTAGCCCACAATGGAAGACGAACACTGCTGATGCCACAGCCGTAGGATGGGCTGCCCGAAGACACGTTGTCAGCGCCGTTGCGATGAGGGTTCGAAGACGGAGGCCGACCAGCGCTCGGAATTATTGTCTGTACAGTTCGAGGTTCGGGCCACGGGCCAGTCGTTACGGGTTCTGAATCTTCATCATCCTCCCCGCTCGCATCTTCTTCTTCCCGACGGTCTCCTTTAGGACGTTTCCGTTTGCGCTTGCTGTCCTTCGAATGGGGCGCAGTTTTCTTGCGCGGTTTATTGTCGTGTCGTGCAGACACTGGAACAGTTGTTGTCTTTGGCGCCAGGTGCAGTTCTGAAAGAGAGTGCAGTGTTAGAGAAACATTTATAAATAAGGAAGGAATGACTCGGAAAATGTAATTATTCAAGAAGCTCAAAAACGTTTAAGAAATATCATTCATATATATTGTGACCTTGGATACGCGTCGTACAAAGTTCTTAGAAATAAGTGCGAAAAAGAAAATAGCAATCTAGACCTCAGTAACTATTCACACCTTTTATTTTGTTGCTTGTTCGTGCACACTCTTGTTGTGATATGTACTGTAACATATAGACCTATTAATAGGCAACGACTCTGTAAACCCACTCCCATGGGAACCAACGCACGCAACAATAGGACGTCCATTGCTAGGCAACGGACCAGTAAACACGCCTCCGTAACAATAAAGGCCGTGTTTTCTACATGGTCCATGCTAAGTGATTATAAAAAGTGTTCGGTAGTACAGAACAGAGTCTAGTTAGGTTCGAGGGGTCAGCCTGCCAGAACATGATTTTGGGAGCAGAGAAATTGATATTTGCAGACTAATGGCAAGAAATAAATTAGGCGGTGCAAGGAGGACTTCATGTGTGACAGCGAGACGGTTATAAATCCGTTGCCAGGATAAGACAAGTAAAGACTGAGAACTCTAGTGTGAGTGTAACGGTGAAGTCTGAAGTAGATCAGCGATAGCGCTGTAGTTGCCTGTAGTTCTGAGTTGTGTGAATAAGGTATCAACAAATCCAATCATCCAATCCGAAACCTGTCTTATAAGTCACGTGTACACCCCCTACACATGAGTGTTTTGACATATTTATTTAGCCTTCTTTAATATTTTAACAACCATTTTAGCATTAAGTTTACTTTGCTGGTTTTTAATTTGCGATACCATATAGCCTTCTGAGTGATTTTCTACATGCCTCTAACTTAGCTGGTCGTCTAAGGGCGCTGTCAGCGTTCAGATTATATGCTGTCGGATTAATAGATGTGAAGACGCTCGTGGAATGAGAATTGGCTGGGGAAACAGAAATACCCGGAGAAAACACACCACTGCTCTTTGTTCACCACAAAATTTATATGATCTGGGATGGAACCCTGACCGCCGCAGTTGGAATCCAGCAAATAACCGCCTGAGCTATTGCATGGCCTCCGATGTTTCGGAGGAATCGTCTGCCACATTTTCATTTAAATTTCAGTACGTCTACAAGCGACCTGTGGGTATTTTTAGAATGAAAACAAATTAAAAATAATGAAGGGGAAATTTTTGTTAGTTTTAACAACATAGTCACTCAGTATTTAGGTGTATTCTATCTATCCATGGCTGTACAGCCATTTGTCCTTCGTGGGCCGCATTTTCAGTTTCTTAATTAAATACACAGTCGGTAGGACTCCCTTGACGTGTGACAAGCCCTGCCACAAGGCCGCTGCCTACACACAGAATAAACGCAGACATCTATGCTTTGAGTACGCTTGGAACGCACGATCCCAGCGTTCGAGCGAACGGAGACAGTTTATGCCTTAGACCGCACGGCCATTGTGGTCGGCTAGACATACCCTATGCATACACGTAACTTTTATATTTTAGCATCTAGGCTTTTAGCAAAAATTCAGAACCGAATAGTAGAAAGCTTAATTTTTCCCTTGTGCCATTTTAGGTTCAGCAAGTCGTGCGAAGGAATATGTCTGTATCCAGGACCTTNATGGTCGGCTAGACATACCCTATGCATACACGTAACTTTTAGCATCTAGGCTTTTAGCAAAAATTCAGAACCGAATGGTAGAAAGCTTAATTTTTCCCTTGTGCCATTTAAGGTTCAGCAAGTCGTGCGAAGGAATATGTCTGTATCCAGGACCTTAGTGAAATTCGTTAAACAACAGTTGTTTTATGGTAGGTGGGTGTTAGCCCCACACTTCATTCTCAAGTTAGAGAATTGCCTTTGACGGTCATTTGAGACTGTATGTTTATATATGCAGGAGAAACGGGAAATTCAACATTATGTATAAGTCTAATTTGCTATTCATTTCATTACAAATTGCTTTCAAGTATATGGGAAATATTCTGCATGGTTCTTAAGTCTGCCGACAGAGGTAAGCATCAATTGCGAGGTGTGTTAATATTTCGGTGTCTCGTAATCTCTGGTTACAGATTTAATGGAGAGTGTCCGGGACAATTTTACCTGTTTTAGGAAATGTCAGCAGAAAATTACAACACTCCTGCTTAGTATTATTTTCTGACATAAGAATTACCCTGTGTAAATGTAGCATATATGATTTTGAAGATGTAATGTCAGTCAATTGAATGAGCTAAGTGCTCTGATTTCTAATACCCATGAAGTGGCAAGAGCTCAATGGCGAAGTCCCATTCCTTGGTGATCTCCAGCTTGAGGCCAGTTGGGCAAGAAAGCTGCATGTCTGTCAGGAGGGATTTTGTTATCTGGATTCAAGAGAACCAATTTCTTGTAGGAAGTGAAGTTCGCTCGCTTATGAACGGTGACCATATTTTCGAATGATCCGTGTTGTGTAAGTAGTAGGCCACTTCTTTCACTGTTTACAACTAGCAAAGATATGTGTTTGATTTTTACGTCTCAGTGGGCGTCATGAAGCTCAGAAAAGGGTACGATTTAGAATGTATAATATTCCAACAGCACACAATATTTGTATTACAGATATGAATGGTTCTGTTTATGGATCTATGAAGAACAAGTAGAAGATTATGTAAGATTTGAGGCTTTCACGGCGGTGACTATGAAGAAAGCAGTCTTCTGGGATTTGGCACCGTGTATATGTGGTGTTAACCGACGTTTCGGAGGAACGTATCGCCTCCATCTTCAGGGTAGAAGAAAAAATATAAGAAATCTGCAAGCGAAGAGACCGTGAGAACCGGTAAAAGCAGACTCAGTCTGCTTTTACCCGTTCTTCTACCCTGAAGATGGAGGCGATACGTTCCTCCGAAACGTCGGTTAACACCAAATATACACGGTGCCAAATCCCAGAAGACTGCTTTCTTCAAGTAGAAGATTAATATGATGGAGTTACAGTGTTTCATGTAAGTTTAAAGAACCAAAGGAAATTGTCTTATTTCTCATTTTTAGGCAGATTTTCGATGATGTTTCATTTAAGAACTTTGTTTATGGGTTTCGAAGCATAGGTCTTGTCTTTTTCAAGGAATGCCCTGTCAGATATATAGTAATCCGATGTGCTGAATCATAATATGCAAGAACACTTTTCTTGTAGTGACGTACTGCAATTCCACAGGAGGTGTCCGAAATTGTAATACAGTACAAAATCCCGTGTATTCATTTCTGTGGCTTCCGTATTCACAAGCGTGATCACACATGAACAGGAGAGAACAGAGATCACCAACATTCAGCCTAAGGGACATCAGAAAAAACACAAATATCGAGATCATTGATGTTCACGAAACGTGTAATTGCTCATTTGCGGACGAGATATCTGGTACGAATCCCAGACGAACTTGTAACGTGCTATTCTCGGTGTCATGAGCTTTGTCATAGACATTAAGGGTACAGGAAAACGTTCAACATTGAATGCAAATTGATTTGTTTAAGAGGTAAGGAGAACAGGATACAAGAAAAAACAAGAATTTAAGAAATAGGAGGTAATGACTGTAGTTTTGGGCTTTTCGACGTAGGGTAATCAACTACATTTAACTGTTGTCAAACAGAACATTTGCTTTTGCTAAATTATAATAGCAAGCTCCCAAATTACACCAACAAGCCATACATAAGGAAACCTTAAAACAGTTTATGCTACTTTTCGTACATAAAATTTAATATCCCCAATGTATGTACGAAAACAAAAAGATTAGAGTCAAGTGGTGCTACATATAGGTTATCCCTAATTCATCTCCTCCTGTTCTTCTGTTCATCGCGCCCTGTACTTCGGAAAATAACAACACTCTCCAACAGGAGTTTCTTTTACATACGAGTAGATGTAATTATATGTTATGTGTACATTTTTAAGTTTATTACTAAAATATAAATAGATTTTTTCATCCCCCAGAGATGTTGAGTGACATAGGTTTAAATTATTTGCTATTTAGAAAGGGGAATGAGTGTTATTTGGTTCTTCATAACTTTCAAGTTTCTGCCCATCACTGCTTTCGTGTTCGTATTCAGAACTTGCTTGAATTTGTCATGCGGGTTGCACTTTGGCTTCTACTTGGTCAGTCACTCATCTGAATTCGCTTGGCGACCCCCGAGTATTTCGTTCCCGGGTTTTCCGAGTTTCTAGTAATATGAACCACCCTGTTCATTACTGGATCCTCATTTAATATTTCAAGTAGATCCGAATGGTCTTCTCCGTGAGGTGAATTTGTCAAGAAATCAATCTGAAGACCTGGCCTTGCGTTCCAGAATTTTCTAGCAGACTCAGCAAGTTATGTTCATTCGCCTAGATAAAAAGTAACCTTTTTATCATTTCCTTCTCAGGAAGGAAGTTTAGTGTACTGTGATAATGTGGATCCCCTCGGGTAGAGGCGTTGGCAAACAGCATGAGCCAAACAAATGGTGCCTATTTATCAAATCTTCGAAGCTGGGATTTAAGGCTGTGTTGTTCCCTAATGGAAATAAACACCCTTCAGTGCCTACAGCACAAATCGTTAGTCCCATGGAGAAATCGCGTGACAGTGTGCAGTATCTTGTGGAACATATTCAGTCTGATAAGTATGTATTATTGGTGTATATGTGGAGATTTGAAAGTTATCTATATTCTGCTTCGTTAACAACTGTGCTATGCCAAATTCTGTTGTTTCCCCTGAAGATGGGGTAACCGAGCACGGGAAGAAACGATGGCCACTTCGACGAACGTTCGCTTCGGTGAGCAAATATGCTAACATTCACCATTTGGTTAATCCGTAAAACATTTTCTTGCTGCCACTTAAAATTAATGAAAATTGTGTTAAGTCTATGGATCGTGATGCCAGTGGAGTTCTCTGTAAATGAATGCAAGGATCAATGAAGCAAAGATCAAAGAAGGGAATATTTGTTTATCTCAAAATTAGCTAAATCTTGAGAAAC